GATTCGTGATTTATCCAAAGATACGGCTATAGCAGATCGAATAGTGGCGAGTATCGCACCGTCGATTTATGGACATGAGGATGTGAAGCGTGCTATAGCGTTGGCTTTATTCAGGTTTGCAATTTCACTTTCGTTTCTATGTGAAAACTCGTCAATCCTTTTTGTGTTATTGAATTTCACTGGAATTTTCTTAAAACAATTTTTAATTAAGTGGATTTGTGAGATATGTGACGAATTTTTTACAGAGGTGAATCGAAAAATCCTGGCGATAAGCATCAACTTCGTGGTGATATAAACGTGTTGTTATGCGGAGATCCTGGCACTGCAAAGTCACAGTTTTTGCGTTATACTCAGCATATCGCCCCAAGAGCTGTGCTTACGACTGGACAGGGTAGGCGCATGTTTATACTGCTGACATCAGTTGTGAATTTGAGCAGTTGAAGTTTGTCTAATTGTAAGGTATTCTTTTGGGAAATATCGTTTATCTTTTTTTTTTCGGATGTGGGTAGTGAAAAATTCGTTGGTTTGTAGGTGCGTCGGCTGTTGGTCTGACAGCGTACGTGCAAAGACATCCGGTGACTCGCGAGTGGACACTGGAAGCTGGAGCTATGGTGCTCGCAGATAAGGGTGTATGCTTGATTGACGAATTCGATAAAATGAATGATCAGGTTAGTTAATAGATCGATCAGACAATGCTTATTGTTAGAAGTTTTGTTTACTCGTATTTCTTCAAGTAGGTAGATGAATAAAGATGTGAGAGGAAGTTGAGTTAGTGGTAATATGGAATTCCGTTCGAGTGTTTTTGTGAATTTTACTTTTATTTTTGGATTTTTTCAAGGCGATTCAAATGATTATGTTGTATTCTGTACTGTGACCGTTCAGGATCGTACATCAATTCACGAGGCAATGGAACAGCAGTCGATATCAATCTCGAAGGCCGGCATTGTCACATCGCTTCAAGCCAGATGTACGGTGATTGCGGCATCGAATCCGATCTCGGGACGTTACGATCCGTCGAGAACGTTCGCCGAGAATGTCGATCTGACTGAGCCGATTCTGAGTCG